TGACCAAAGAAAACTCTTATTCTGGCATTAGACTGGTCTTTCTCAAACATGCCTGACACATCCACATCACTGTGTATCAAAATGAGCCACCTGTGTTTTAGGCAGAATGTTATCTTTGGGAGCTAAATCATTGCATCACCATCTGGGAGCTTTGCGGTCTGGCAGATAGCTTTCAAATGTTCCATTTATCTTTTTAAAAATTATTTATTTATATTAAGAGTACTTTCAAATGTAGGGCAATTAATATGGATCTTCTTGTGAACTAATATTTCACTGCTTGAAAAGGTGAGGGTTTTTACCAGCCTGTCTTCAATGACTAGTATATATTATGGAAACTAATAACACATTTGACTTAGTAAAATCTCTCTTTCCCATTACTTTGCTTCAGCATCATTGTTATTGTAGTAAATCTACTAAAGGAAAGTGTAACCTGAATGAAACTAGGCAGTGCTCAAACTGAAACTTAATTTGCTTGGAGAATCTCTGAAATGCCAGAGGACTTTAGAAAATAGTATAGGAGGATCTTTTACTGAGTGCAGTGCACAGAGACTCTTTCTCAAGAGATTGCAAACATGAGTCTCACAGCTCAAAATCATCCTGGATAGTAAATGATTTTTTTATCATTGAGTTCTTTTTCTCTTAAGCTGCCTTTCCTTGGCTTCTGGATTAACTGAATAATTTAAGTCTTGTTTAGCTTAAATTTGCCTTTGCCTTTTTGATTACATGAATGGAAAGTTGTATTTGTACTTTGTATACATGTGAACTTCAAGAAAAGATCTTTGTGGAAGAGAATGACTTTGTTCGACTGAACTAAACCAGTGCTGGCAAGGCTATGATGGAAATAGTTACTAGAGTCAAGGTTGAGATCCTCTAAAGAGGAATACTCAACTTTGCTCTTCTTTCATGTAGATGTGGCTGTTCCTGTGCATAGATACTCCTTTTCAGCTGCTTGTATGACTATTGATGCTTGACCTAATTTATGTGATTTTTACATCCTGAGGTGGTAGTATTTATTGAGATATCACGTGTAATGTATTTTAATGTATTGTCAAGTACAATTATACTCTACATTTTGTTTCTTTTTCAGAACGTTCTCAGGTAGACCAGTTGTTGGCTATTTCCCTGAGGGAAGAAGAGTTAAGCAAATCCCTGCACAGTGTGGACAGCAGTCTCGTGCAGGCCAGGGCTGCCCTCCAGGCTGCGTATGTCGAGATTCAACGGTTCCTTGTACTAAAGCAACAGGTAACAGTGGGCTTTTGAGACTGACTGAGGTCAAAGATAGCAATCTGAAAAACTGCCTTAAGTAAGACTGATTTAAACCACAACTGTTTTGCAGATAACCATGGAAATGAGTACACTGAGAAGTCAGAGAATCCAGATCTTGCAGGGGCTACAAGGTATGAGATACCATAAAACTACAACAATGGAATGCTGACTTTCATATTCTTTGAACTCAGTATCTTGTAAAAATGACATTTAACTGGAATTCAGTCATTTAAAATGTGCAATAAAATTGTAGGCTTTCAATACTGAAGTCTTTATTGTCTGTGTGTGATCTGTCGTCTTTGGTAGTGCCATCTAGTGGCTTTTTTACAAATTTTTCTCTTGTCTGTCTGCTCACAAGAAACGGGCTCTTGGCGCCACTAAATTTTATTGTAAAATGTGAACATTTTTGTTCTGTGTTTTTTCCTCTCTCCTCTTTTGCCATTAGAAACATATGAACCTTCTCAACTGTCAGAGCCACTTTCCTGCAGTGTCTTAAGTGAGAGAAGACACAGCAAATCTCAGATGGCAGCTGAATTAATTCCTGCAGGCTCCTTTCTGCCCCATTTGGACACTTTGTCATCTTCCGTACCTCCACTGGGAGCTTCAGTTCATATAAACATGTCGTCACCATTCCAGTCTTCTGGCATCACACTCGCCACTCCTCCTGACTCCTCAGTACAAGTTAAACGAGAACCTGTGTCTCCAAAAAGCTCAGAAGAAAATGCGAATTCGGTACTGCAGACCACTACACGTGCTTCACAAACAGACGAGGTGGAGCAGAAGGATGGTATGTATAGCTTCTCTTTGTTTTAAGAGAACTAGCTTTAAGAAAATAAGGAATTTATTTTTTATTCCCCTGAAGAATGTAAGTTGAGTCTCAAACCTGCAGACTCTTGTGCAGGGGTGAACTCCCATTAACTTGTGTAGGACTTTATTAACTTAATAGTCTTAGAAACTGGGACCTTCTTTACAACACATCCAAATGGAGTCCGCGTTTTTGAAATTAAGCACATGCAAGTTGCACCTATGTGTTATATGCACCTACATGTTTCTAGTTTTACTTTAACAATAGAATATGTGGTATGTAACAATGTGAATATGAAGGTTGCATCCTCTTAGAAAAATTTAGTTAATAAAAAACCCAACAAACCTTAAAACCTCCCCTGTAATTCTCATCTTCTACTCTACATCATTTAATGGGCATTGGTAGCTGAAAATCTGCCTACAAAGGAAAAATGCATGCCTGAAGATCTTTTTTAAAAAATTATGACCCACTACATTAAGAGTATTCTGCGTTCTTGGGCCCTGCTGGGTAAGCATAAAGAGTGTCATGTGTGATATTAAAAATAACAATCCATCTTCTCCCCCCTCCGTCTCTCTAAATACTGCTGGTCTGGAGATGCCCGTTCAGAGTTCGTACAATCTTATTTGTGATTTCAGTAAAGAATTTACTGTAAGAAGGATGTTAGGCACTGTTCTCTCGTGTGAGGGGAGTGGGAATGAGTAGGGGAGGGCTACCAATGAAGGTACGTGTTCACTTTTGTCTGGAGGAGAAACCGCTGAATTAACTGAACTACTAATGTGAGAGCTACTGCTTCAGAAAAATGAGATCTTAATGGCTGTAGCTGAAATTGCTAATTGTCTTTATTTAGACAGTTCAAAACCCCTAAAACTCATGTCCTGTATTCTGTGGTCAAAAGCTTAAATGCTATTGATACTTTACACTGCAACTTGCTACTGTGACTGAAGGTACAAACTGAAGATTAAAAGCTCAATCATCCTTTACTTTCCTACGAGCCTGTGAAATCAAGCAGGATGACTCTAATGACAGTTGTTTGTCTGCCATAACAATGTCACTTACCCAGACCCTTAATGTAGATAATTTGAGATAAAGATTCATGAGCAAGATCCTTGTTAAAGGTAAATATAGCTGTCAACATTTTTTTTCCTTCAACTGAAGTGGAAAATAGTATTGGAAAAAGCCACGCTGTTCTACTTTTGTAAGTGTATTTTTTTCTCAAGCACAAGATAAGTGTTGGCTGAATTGAAGCTTAGGCTTCTGTAAATACAAGAGTTTGAAGGTTTTTTTATCTTTTTGCAGTTTGCTTTGGATGTAGTTTTCTGTATAAATACTATTCTTTGTGCTTTTTTAGTCACTGTTGTATTTCCTGTATTGTAGTATTGTGAATTTTGCTTCATCTCTTTTTGGAGGATTTGGCAGGGATTATGGAGCTCTGGGGGTGCACACTAAAGTAAACTTAGGGAGCAGGGGGAGAATGAGCTTTTTGGTGTTTGCATTAAGACTCAGCTTGTAGAAAGCCACTACCTTTCCTGCGCTTTTCCATTCTTAGTGGCGTATGCTATTTTGTTGTGTTTAAACATTAGCGAAGAGAAGTGTCATTTTTCTTTAATGTTAGAGTTGGAAAATTCAGAATAAAGATTTAGTGATTGCTAGCTGCAGTGGCATGAAGTGTCTTGCTTGCAGAATCTTCAGACTTTATTGATGTCTGTGCAGGCACAACAGAAGCTGAAGAGTTATTTTTTCTCATAAAGATGAACGTTCACTGTATAGCTGCATTTATTACTTGATTACTTTAAAAATGTCTTCATCACAGTAGCATATTTGTCAGTTTCCTTCAAACTTATTTTTGACATATTAAAAGCAAGAGTGTTCTTTTGATGTTTGTTTGTCAGATTAATGTGGTTTTGGCATTGATCAGCTTCTCTATGTGTTACATTGAAAATGAATGTCTGCCATCAAATGAGTTTGGTAATTTGGGGGGAAAATAAGCATTTACCATCAGGTAAATTCCTTAATTTGGGGAAGAGGAATTCTCTCTGGGGTCAGACTATCTGCTTTCTGAGGGTTGAACATCTGGCTTGTCAGCTTCCCTAGGAGGTCAGCTCAGCCTTGCTTTGAAGGAGCTGATTGCATTTAGTTTCCCCTAACTGCCAGCAATCTCTCCCACCCGCAGAACAGAGTGATTCTGCTTTCTTGCACTACCATGGTGATTTCCTGCTTCCTTTTCTAGCACCTGCAGTACAGTGTTGAGAATTAATAACTTTTGGTTTTAGAAATTTCAGCTTAAGTTGCTGGTTACCCTTATTTTCGTGCTTGTTTTGTTTTTAAGTGACCAAGTTCCTTCCCTCCCCCTTGCTCTGGGAAATGAGGGACACATGATATCAGAGGTGTATTCGAAATTTAAGGGTTTGTATGCTTTCTTCCCAGTATAATTCAACACAGTAACTGTTCAAACCTCGTCTGAGCATTCATTTCTTCTGTATAGAGGGTTTTCTAACAGGTTGCAGCTGTATATGACAGTTACAGGTCAGGGAAAAAACAGCTTTCCATTGATTTACTTTAAATACAATATACCCTGTGGTGTCAGCAAGTTCTAGTTTTATCTTGGAACTTCCCGTCCGAGGAAGGTGTGGGGTGAGATGTTCACATTTAAGCTGTCTCTTGTTGGATGCATAATTCCAAAACCTCAAATTTTTACTGTGATGTGTTAAACAGTCCAACAGCTTTGTCTGAGCATTGCTGTAGGTTTCATTTGCTGATTCCTAAGAGACTGAAGCAGGGAAGTGTTTCAAATACTGTCAGCTTCCCATTTGCATTGAGGGATCCCACCCAATAAATGCAGTGAACTTGAAACATCCTATTCTGGATTGTAGTTATTGCAAATGCCACTGGGGAATTTCAGGGTGTGGAAAGAACAGCTGTGAGATGCTGCCTGTGCTCTTAGCCTGTCTCAGTTGAGAGGTTGGATTCATTTGTTCATATTAGCTTCCGGTTAAACTGACAGGGAGAGTATGTTTGCCCTGTCGCTTAGTCCACCACAGATGGAGTAACAAAGCTTAGCCTGATGGCTTACAGCGCTGCCATTCCCAGAATAGAAGGTGTGATGCTGCAGAGTGGGTTGTGCATGACTCATCTACCTGAAGTTAGGTCCAAGTAGTTCGGTAGAAATAACTAATGCAGATGGGTTAAGGACAAGGTCTTCAAACTGTGTCACTGAGCAGCTGAGATGTATTAAGCACGCCTTGGTTAAAACCAGTCCTACAGCAGTGATGACAGCTGGTAAGGTAGCACACAGTGAAGTGTGGTAGCATCTTAAGCCGACAATGTAGGATTCACCAAAGGTTGTTTGTCACAACTTTATAAGCGTATAGTCAGCCAGCAACTTGAATGATGTGCCCCATTCCTTTGCTTCAGGGTACACACATAAACTTTTTATTCCCCAGCTATATTTTTTTAAAGGCTGGATAGCTGACTGAAATAGCAGATCTGCATGTGCACATAGCTTTCAACCTGTAGGAATATGTACTTTACATGCACAATTAAGTATAAACAGCAAAATGCAGGGAAAGCAATTTGGCATAAATATTTATTGCTGTACAGATTGAATATAACACTAATCTGTTTTCTTCAGAAGAGACCAACAAGAAGACTTCAGTGTATTCAGTTATCTCTGCAACCATATCCCTATCAGAGCTGGCAGCTTGTTTCCAGCACGCTAATCGGGATGTTCACAAGCCTACCGTGTACAAGGGAAAGGCTGGACTTCCTGAGAACCCTTCTCCTTCACTGTCTGTTTTCAGCAAGAGAGAAGCAAATGATACAGTGACTGAAAGCTTTTTACTGGATCAGTGTAGCGCTTCTCTTCCAAAGCATTCAGTCCTTATAGAAATGCCAGTGGATAAAACCCCCAAATTGTCAGCAGAACCATCTGAGCAACAGATGGCAACCACAGTAGCCCCAGCAGAAAAAGGGAACAGGAGGAGGAGAAAGTTAAGGAAGAAGAAATCTCTGAGGGCAGCCCATGTGCCAGAGAACAGTGATACTGAACAGGATATAATTGACTCTAAGCCTGTCCGGAAAGTCAAGGGTGGAAAGGTTCCGAAAGGAGAAAAAGTTACTACATCCACTCTTCCAAGACAGGAGGATGGAGTTACTGCTCAAATTGCAAGAAGCAAAGAGGAGAATGACAGTGATGCTTCTCTGGAACTAGTGGAAGTTCCAGCACCCCAGTGTGAGGTGGTTGATGTTGGTTCATCAGAGTCGGGAGATGAGAAACCAGACAGTCCATCAAAGAGGGATTCACGCAGCTCTGTGGATCAAGCAATCCTAGAGCCATCTTGCTCTGGTTATGATGAAGTGAGCTCTACCAGTGAGATTGGCACAAATTATAGGGATGATGGGAAAAGAAGGTGAGATTATTGTAGATAAGTCAACAGTAAAAGCATTACAAAATATATTTTATATTTTTTTATATTTTTAAAATTTT